TCAGCTGTTGTCGTTGATAAGTCTGTGTAATAAAAGACAGGTAAAAATACAAAACAAGATTTAGGTGACTATCACATCAGGAAACACATCCCTAAGTTTTGCCCTTTTGCTAGTTCTAGTGATTCCAGAAAGAAGAAAATGTAGGAATTTGAAAAGGCTGCATTATAACCTTTGATTCACCCATTTTCTTAAATTTCTCCAACTCTATCTCCCAAATTCTTTTCCATGAGAACTTGCTCATTTGTTTCCTGTACCTGTGTTCATTTATTCAGGCCAATTTGGACAAAATAGTACCTTTAACTTCATGTGCTTTCCCAAACAAGTTGAAACAAGAAAGTGGCCACTCTCAACTACAGCAATCAAGCCCAACAACTTAACTGCAAGACCACTTAGCTCGAAACACATGAGTTTTTAGCAGGTGCAGCTGCGTGGAAATGGTCATAATTTTTCATGCAGGAAAAAGAAAAAACTGTAAAGGGATTGCACTTCTTGTTGTGCTTAATCTTCTTTACTCTAGAACACACAGAGATGCCAGCTGCATTCCCAACTTTTCTCTACTAATTGAAGCATTATTTCCATGCCCACAGTTCTTGCCACCATAATGTTTTTTTTCAATTTTAAATTGAAATTTAAATATTAAAAACAGAGAAAATAAAAAAATAAACACAGGTTTTAATAATGAGGGTTTTGGGAAATATCTCTACACAACTAAGACCTTCAACTTCTAAGACCTTAGCAGCTCTTTAACTTCTCAGGAAGAACTATTTATTCATTATGTAAGAGACTGCAGCAGAGAAATGTGAAGCTTGGCCTGTTAAGTGCCAGATCTGGATAAAAATCAAGATAATGGGCTCTGTAGGAGAAAAAAAGAAGATGGGAGACAAAAAGATTTTTTTTTTTTTTGCAAAGTACCAGTGCCAGGCTTTTCAACATCTTAGTTTCAATACCACTGAACTGACTGAATGTTTTTCAAAGCCCCACAAGAATTTATCATAGTAAAACAGAATTAGAAATATGTTTGGAATGGTATTTAAAATGAGATAGAGAAGGAGAAATAGGCTACAAACAGTTATTGTTCAAAATAACAAACCTCAGTATATAACTACCCATAAAAGCCTCCTTGTTGTTTAGGAGTTATCTGAAGAGCAGGCAAGTAACAGGAACCAAGCTTTGCAATAGGGAAGCAGGTCTGAGTAACAGCATGAAAGGAGTTTTAGAGGTGCAGCACATGTGACAAGAGGCCAGTGAAATGCAGCTTTATAATTATTATAAAGGACTATTTATCAACCACTAATTATCAACCACAGCCATTTTCCAGTATGTTTCTCAAGTGCGTTAACAATACAGCAGCTTTGAGTTCCCTTAGAGGTACACAGTCTTCCCTTGCAAAATCTGCTCCTTGCTTAAATTCTGAGATGGGCACTGTGGACAACAGGAGAAGCTTTTGTGCAGTCTTCACCTGGCAGGACAGGCATGGGAGCCTTTGCCAGCCCAAGAGCTGGAGGGTGGCAGCAGGGAGGAGAAAAGGTCACTGGTTCAGTTGCTGTGAGACATTCACATCCCTATTGCCACCACGCCACAAGCTTCAGCCCTGCTCTCAGACTCAACAATTGGATTAGCATCTCCCCACTCTACTTAAAATACAAACCACGCGAACAACCCTGCAGCAGGATATATTGATTTTCACACCTCAGAAAGTAGCTGGGTGGGAACCGATGCAAATACAGCTTAACACAGACTTGGACCAAAAGGCAAATACAAAACAGGAGATAAAGCTGGCTGACACATTACAGCTCAGCTCAATCACAGCGAGAGGCAGCCTTCAGGCAAACGAGCACTTGAAATTTGTGATGTTGGCAAGTGGGTAATAGGCCCCCTCCCATTAATGAGATAATAGTAAAATGAACTGCCAGCAGATCTGAATACATTATGGTTAAAGCATCTTTACAGTGGCAGAAGGATCCAGCATGGATCTGCACCACTCCACCGCTTCCATAGTACAGGATCTCATGGTCTCCGTGCGGCCGTGGTAGAAACGCCTGGTCATGGCGGTTTCGTAGCAGCAGCCCGGCCTAAGAGGAAAAATCAGCAAGAGCATCTCATTAACTCTACAAAACTGCCTGCGTTCTCTAAAGGAAAAACCTCTGTGAAGCTTCCTGCACATCAAACCAAATTAGCCCTATCAGCAAGCCACTAATTTTCTTAAAATTGTGTGTCTAAAAAGGAGCCTCGAGGAGCTACAAACTTTTATGAAACAGATAACTGAAAATGTGCCAGTATTGTAACTGCCCTGGAAAGGCTGCACTGTCACGGCTGCTTGCTGCAGATTACAAATTCACTTGCTTCTAGTGCAAATAAGCAAAAATAAGGTGAACTTCAACTTCAATATGTGTTCCCACCAACAACAAAAATTCTACATCACTCAAAAACTCAAAATTATGAGACACACTTGTAATATGCAGTATTTCCCAACGCTTTTGTGTCAAAAGATTTAGATCCTTATCTGTTGCATAATGCAGCCCAGCTAGGTGCTCTGGAGGACCTCTAGCCTTACGAGATCCTACCACTTAATGGGTACTTCACATGTCACATAAAGGAGATGATAAAAACAGGCTTAGCAGGCTATTTTGATTGGACAATTAATTTAGTCCAGCATTCTGCAAACTGCGAGAGCTGGTGACCTTTCTTGTGATGAGAAAAGCATCTTCAGTCACCAAGCATCCTTGGTGATGTGATTATGCTCCCACAATGAAATCTTTCTTTCTGAAGCAAGCGATACCCACCAGGTCAGTCATGACTC